ATATATAAGGAAAAAAATGGCGGACGACTGCTCTGCTAGGGTTTCGAATGGCGATCGCCATTGATTCTGTCGCTCGAAGCTTCCGCTCCTTTCTCCTTCATTGGCTCGTGCTTGTCTTTGTCGGCTCACTCTCGTCGGCGTTCATCTGCATCTCGACACCGACGAGTTCGCATCTGCTCAACGCGTTCGCTTCTGACAAAGTCGCTCGATGCGTCATCTGCTCGGCTCTACCTCTGGCATCTGCGACAGAGCCACTCAACATTCACTGTTCTTCACTGTAGCTCAACGCCGACAGCTCTCCTTGCTCAGATGACGCCTCCTTGTTTGCTTGAGCCAGACAAAGTCTCCTTTGCCCACGTGGTGGGTAACCCTCAGGTGGAGTCCGCAGTGGGATTCCCCTCAAGTTATAAGGAATCTCGTGAGGGCACAGATGATTGTCCTTTTATTAAGAAGAGAAGTAGGAAATGTGGAAAAATAGCAATCATTTTGACATAGAAATTTCTATCATGACAGAAAAATTTAAGTTTGCTCTCATTGAAAAATTTTAGTGGGGACACCCATCTATGAAGGTTATCAGAAAGGGCGTAGATGATCTTAAGCTAGTAGAGGTAAACAAGTGGAAAGTGGGGCTCATGGATAGAAGACATGTGTTGATCCAACTAACAGTGGCTGAAGACTACAACAGAATTTTCACCAAGAAATATCTTAATATCGAAGGCAAATCAATGAAATTACTCATATGGTCTCCTAAATTCGATCCAAATCATGAAACTCCCACTGTACCAGTATCGTTTAGTTTACCTGGTCTCAAGCTGCATTTTTTTTACCATCAAGTTCTCTACTCTATAGGGGTCATCATTGGGATCTTTGAAACTAGATCTGCCTACTTTCAACCTAACCAGATCCTCGGTGGCCAGAATACTTGTGGAAAAGGATATTACTTTACCTGATGTGACTGAAGTCTGACTGGGCACAACCCATAATGGATATTGGCAACAAATCGTCATGGAACACAAACCCCCCCCATATTGTACTCACTGTAAGCCATATTGTACCCACTGTAAGATGTTTGATGGTTATGTCCTTGATAAATGCCACAAGTTTCATGCAAATTTGAAATCTAAGGTTCAAGTGAATAAGAATGGGTCTAACCCCACTGCTCTGGACATTTTAGTTCCACCTAAGGAGGATACTACCAGACAGGAGGTGTATGTTGCACCTGAGGACCCCTCCCATGACACTGCTGCTGTTACTGTTATTGTTACTGTTATTGCGAGTGATGCGATGCTGGCACCTACAAACTCCATACAAAATAATACTGATGGACTATTACCTATAAATGATAGTGTTCAGACTGATAATCAGAAAAGCCTCGCTAATCCACTTCTTCAAGAAGTATCCGGTGTAGCGGCAACTCATACTTCACATATTGTAGAACCTATTGTGGGTATTACTGTTGGTAACATTCTACTTCAGCTCTACCCCATCAGGTGGATTCTTCGGAGGAGAAATGACAGGTTTACACTTCCAAGAGGAAGAACAAGAACGGAGATCTACTAGAGTTCAGGAGTCTTATGGATGATACTTTGGTTACTACAGGCAATGGTCAACACCTTACCAATCTGCTAGCTGGATCCCTACCGAAAACTAGAGCCAGAGGCAAGACCAGATTGAGATGACTCACACTTTCTCAGCGCCCGAGTGATTTTTAGGTTTCTTTTTATTTCTATATGTACCAATCTTTTACATTTTTTGGTGTGTGTTGTACCATGTGGGTTGGGTCTTTAGGCCCACCCATACAAACCTATCTGTATCTTTATCTTTCTTTAATATATCGGCGCTTGGGCTTTTCATATATATATATATATATATATATATATATAACGAGGACTTTTTTATCCAATTTTGAGGTAGCTTGATCCGATACAGGCTCAACTCAATTCAAGTCTGAACCGAGCCCTTGGCTCAACTAGTCAGCTAGTTTCTTAGATCTGAATCAAAAGCTGATCTAATTTTCAACGAATCTTTGATCTTTCATCTGAACTCTGTCTTACCAAAAGCTACTTGAAAAATGTATGTTTGAGCAGTATTAGGGATATTTTCGGAAAATCATTGGTTCAGCATAGAGAAAGACCCTAGGAAAGAAACCTAATATTGTTACATAAACAGGAAAAGCATGAAAAGAAGAATGACATTTTGTTTAACTCTTACATACATATCACTCAATTCCAATGAAATTACACATCTAGCACCCAAACTTTACCTTTTACATTTATGCCACTCAAAACTTTCATATCACGTTAAAAATACCACCATTTTAACTTCTATAAAATTAAATACACCATGCATAAGAAAAGGTGGTATGTTGTACATAAATAGAAGTTTAGGTGTTAGATATATAAATACATAGGAATTGAGTGGTAAGTATGTAAATCTTCCAATTAATAATAAAAAGGTGACAAAAAGCGCAGCTAGTATATAAAGGAGTAAGAAAATAATGTACCCTAGGAGTTAATGATGGTTCTGCAGTTGTTGATGATGCAAATAAAAGCTGCTCCAAAGTTTGAATAAGAGTACACCTGTTGATGAAAAGAACAACAAAAATAAATGCTCTTCAAGCATTTTGGCAAAAGAAAAAAGCTATGTATTTTTTAAAGTTAAAAATTAACTCAATTCAGCATGGGAATATATATTAGAAAAATAAAAAAAACAATTTAAATAAGCCAACAAAACAAATTTTGCAAGGGCTTAGTCCAATAATCCAAAAGCCGAAAAACTAAATAATTCTACAAAATGTTAAAGACTATGAGAAGAATATTTGGCCGCTGAAGCACCCTGCATAATTAAAATGAATAAACAGTGCTTTATGAACATGATCTATTAACAAAGCATCAAAAACATGCAACTACCAGGTAGTGTTTTTAAATTAGACATCTCTTAAGCCCCCACACTTATTTGTAGGAAAGAGGGCAGAACCAATTTTACAATTCCCTGAATCTTTAAATCAGCAAAAAATTCAAGTTAAATTTACCTACGAAGCACACAATTCTTATGTATTTATCTCAAACCTAAACTTACGTGTTTACATATATAACACTTTGGTGCTTTAAACCTATGCATGAAAAACTGTATTACGCCTTTAAGAAGTGATAATAGTGCTATTTTTTATGTGAAATTAAAGATTGGAGTGCTATGTGTTTGAATATGAAAGTTTAGGTGCAAGGTAGGTAAATACATAGTATGTAAAAGTTAGTGAAAAAAAGGCATTTGCGATTATGATTTGACATCTATATGCTGCATCTAATCATGGCAGCAGTATTTCAGAAGCCACTTCTTTGCCCAAGCCATGCCATCATGTATTGGATATAATTATAGAATTTAAATTAAAAAATTAAATAACATAAAAAGGTACTTCATGTAAGAAACACTAATTAAATTGACAACAAGACAAGGAATTATGCATGACTTAATGTAAACGATAAGTTGTAGAAGAAATAGAACACTTTCACATTAAGAAATGCTTCTTAAAAGGCTTGAGAAAGCTCAAATTTTGAGAGCGAGTAATTTAAAAATTGTTTCTCATAACATTGTGCAAAATATAATGTGGATCAAAAAGTATATCAGATAGAAAAATTGCCTGGAGTTACTTACAGTTCATTAACGCATCTTCTCCGGTCTTCAGGAAGAGAATTCTCAAGTTCTAATTGGAGAGAGAGTAGATCAGATCTTACAGCTAAAATCTGCTGAATAATTCCATGGGCTGACACATAAGTTGGCAATGCAGCTTGAGAATCTACAAGAAAAATAATCTAGTTTTATAAAGATACAAGTCAAGCTTAACAAATTTGAAGCATTGAGTAAAAATTGTTTTATGATGATACTTGAATAAATGCTGAGAAGATCACGAACACCGTGGAGGAAAGTGTCACGATCATCAACTGCACCCTGCTCTCGTACTTCTGAGGCTGCTTGAATTAATGACAGACAATGACCCTATAAGAAAAGACAAATATTTAGCAGCTGGTTTTTGTGAAATGAATTTTGCAAAATTTACTAACTGCAAAATGATAAAAATAAAGCACAATTAGAAAATGGCATAACAGCACAAGTGAACTTTAGTTCACAGTATATATAGCGGGACAATTAAATTCGCTACAATAAATAGAGAGATAAAGATAGAAGTTTAAGCCCATATGCAGTAGAAAAATATTTACTTACGGAGCATGCACGCAGAACTACGCGAGTATGGAGGTTATTCGAGAGGTATTTGAGAGTTATGTCGATGTTATTGAGGTTAATATCCCCAATAACCTGACAAAACTTCTGAATAACAACAAAAAATATGAGCAAGGAACCGCGAAATGTATTGGTAGGTTATTGGGGGGTTACGAAGTACGCAGACAGTTCTGCATGCGTACTCCCCCAAACAACCTTCCAATAACTCAGTTATTGGGGGTTATTGAAAAGTTATTGGTCTATTTATGGGGTGATTTTTGTCGTCTTAAGCTGGCATTGCCAAAGGAATATTTAGTACTTTCATAAATATATTATGTGATTCCCACCGTCAGAGCTAGATCGGAGCAGAGGTAACAAAATGATTGCACTAGACCAAACCCTCAGTCAAAGAATTGTGATTAAGCTTGATTAGAAGACAAAAATTATTGAATTCAATATATGGTTTTCCATATCAAGATTTATTAACATGAAAATCAAAACTCCAGCCATAGCCATATGTTCCCACCATACGAACTATGTTCCCATTCTTGGTTCATCAACGCACCCGAGCTTGTCATAAAAAACAATACCCGACAGCTTCCTACGGGCAACTCCCCCAACTTTTTTCTAGTGTCGACAGCTTCTATACCGGCGACTCTGTTGGGGAGTAGTTTCTCTCTCCATATTAATTAGGAAATATTATCTTCATATATCGGTAATGTGTCCATGCCCTCTTGGACCAAATTACCTTTCTTCCGTTGACATGCTTTGCCCATTTCTTTCTTGGGAAAGTACGGTCAACTCTTTGAACTTCAGGACCGCCTGTTCAATCACTTTTGAAAAGGGATGTCCAGAAGACCATTAAGAACTTTTTAATCTTTTGTGTGGGGTCGGACCCTCAATAGGTGTGTTGGTGGACTAGTTTCATCTGGACATTATGTGTTGTAAAGTCGGTCTCGCACTGGGTACTAAAATTTACTCTCCTTTTTGTGTCATTTCAAGTTTGATTTGTTATATTGCAAATTAAATCGAATTGTGTTGTGTTGTGCTTGCTCTTTAATTTTCTTTATATTAATTAAACCTTCATACTTTCAGACCATTTTTACTAACTTTTAAAATCTTCACCAATTAAATAAAATTTTCCCGGTTAATAGATCGGTCTCTGTCAATTTGTAGTGCTCGCGCTATAATTACGATGCATTCGCCAAATAACTAACCATAGGGTTTTCTCTTTTGAAGTTTTTGCGATGGCGTTTCTGACGCTTACTTTTTCCTGCAACTTGCCAACGGACTGTAATGCCCGCAACGTCGCTCCCACCAAGTTTGGGGCAGGATTCGAGGATCTCGAAGTCATTCTCGACAAAGCCCCGTTCGTTGTAGTGAGAGTCGCCACCCCAGAAGTTCAGGAGTCGTCTGCTGAGTTTGACCTGAATTGCCTACAAGATTTCCCTTCTTATCAGGAGGAAAAGACTACTGCCACTTTGAAATCTACTAGCTCGTCTTTCCCGTTCCTGCTAAGGGAAAAGAGGTTATGATCGTCGATAACCCGACTGAGGAATTCACTGTCCCGCCGTCAGTATTCGAGATTGGGTTGAGTTCGAGAGTTGGGCCACTAACTCGGTCGCAAAGGAGAAATTGTAGCCGAAAAGCTCGCAAGACTGCTGAAGTTCATATTTCTGGAGATATGACCGTTGATGAAATCCCTCATCAGGATGAATCGGGATTGTTGGATACCTCTCCACTTTTGCAAGGAAGTAGTTTTCATCCCTTAATAAATACCGATGGACATGAAAGTATTCAGAAAATTGTCATTGCTTTACTGTCACCTCATAGACATGGTGAGAAGAGGAAGAAGTTTACTCCTATCACCAGAGTCAGCACAGTGTTTCAGAGACTAGCTGCCAAGGAGGATATATAAACTAGACCACTGACTTTCTCTAAAAAAAAGATTATTAATATAGCATATAAACATTTTATGTTAAAAAATCAACAATGTGATTAGCATGATCATGCTGCAGTCGAGTCGGTCCTGGGAAAGACTGGCCTGGACCGCTCAGAGCCAACTAGACCAGCTGGCCTAGCTAAGTCAGTTGGCCCAACCTAGAGGGGCAAAAGCCCTGGGGGACTGCTAAGGATGATTATAGCTTTTGTGTGGGTCTCACACAGTCGTTAATCACGTACAAGAGGAGGGGAATAAAAAATTTTTGGGGGAAAATTTGAATGGACCTTGGGGAGTATTTATTAGGGCTACTTAGCTAGGCTTTGCTTTAAATTTTGATTTGCTGCAGTTTTTCTTTTATCTTTGGGTTCTTAGAGGCGTCTAGGATTTGTGGAGAAAGGATCTAACTCTCGAACTGTAGATCACCAATTGTATCATGTTTGTTTGCTTTGATATTAATTGAATTAGTCTATCTTGGGTTTTCCCACATATCTACCGCAAGTTCCTCGTTGATTTTGGCTCCAGATCGTATTAAATTGGTATCAAAGCAAGATCTTGGAGAGATGACAACAAAGAAAGTAAACACATTGGAAGGGAGATCAGAAGGAGAAGCTGGGCAAAACAAATGCGAGATTGAGGAAAAGATATCCACCATAAAAGGAAGGGTTTTCTCCATGGATGATAGATTTTCTTACATGAAAAAAAGATTTGTGGGATTGGAGGAGATGATATGAAGGCTTATTGAGATGTAGCCCAAGACACCACCGACAGCTCAATTTGTGAACCACAACTAAGGGTTGACAGAAGAATCCTTAGTCAAATCAAATAAGATTGAATGAGAAAAACATGAGGAGAAAAGCATAAACCATCAAGAACTTCCCCTCGAGGACTCCTACTGGAGTGGACTAGAGAATTCTTATGGAGGGCCTGGGGCCGAAATTTGGAGGGGCTATGCAAGGGGCCTGAACGAGCACGAAGAATAAATGAGAGAAACCATATTAAGATATGGCTATGATCAAAGAGAGAGTTTCACTCTAAATACTGGGGGATAAACACCAAATGGAGATGAAGTTGGGGTGGTGATGCTAGGGTTAGAAAGTTGATGATGTCAATCTTTGAGGGAAAAGATGCACATAGGAGGATGTATTAGGTGGAGTGATATTTTGTGATGAATAAGCTAAATAGGGAGGAGAAGCTCGCGAAGGTAGGGTTATGATTGGAGGGAAAACCTTAGCATTATTTCAGTGGAGGGATGTAAGATACCTAATATGTTCCTGGAGGAATTTAAGAATTACTTGTTAGAATATGTTTGAGTCATTCGAGGAGACCTACACGAAAAATTATTTGCCTTGACTCAAGAAAGGACTATCATGGAGTATAGGAAAGGATTTGAGTTATTGTCATGACGACTAAGAAGAATTTCAAAACAGAGCATATGGGACACCTGGGGACAATCTTGGAGACGCTGAGAGAGCACCAATTGTACAGCAGCTTGAAGAAATTTTCCTTTGCGAAATCACAGGTGTAGTACCTAGGGAATGTAATGACTAAGGTAGAGGTAGCGGTGGATCAGTCCAACATCGAGACAATGTTGGACTGGCCTATGAGCTTGAAAGAGTTGAAAGAATTCCTTGGCCATACCAAGTACAACCGGAAATTCGTGAGAGGATATGACAAGATAATATGACCGCTGATGAAGCAACTTAAGAAAGTCAATTTCATGTGAGGGGAAAGCAATAACACATGCCTTCGAACATCTGAAGTGAGCCATGAATATTACTTCGATATTAGCACTTTCATACTTCAATGGACCATTTGTGTTATAGTCTGATGCGTTGGGGTATCGATTGAGAGCCACTCTCATGCGGGACCAACAACCTAATACATATTTCAACCAGCTGCTCGCAGGCACAAACGGGCTCAAGTTTGTATACGAGAGAGTTGATGGCTATTGTCTTGGCCATCCAAAAGTGATGGCCATATTTGATGGGGTGACACTTTATAGTTATAGTCAGAGCCGATCAGAGGAGCTTGAAGTATTTGTTAGAGTAGAAGATGGTGATAGAGGAGCATTAGAGGTGGTTATCCAAGTAACTTGGATATGATTTTGAGATTCAGTATATGATAGAATTGGAGAAATAGTCTCAGATATGCTATCAAGGAAGTTGGAGGAGGCCAAACTAACAACTTTATCAATACCATGGTCATAGATTGGAAAGTCTTAAGGTCGGAGAGCGAGCATAATGAAGGGCTGAGGAAGATAAGGGCAAAGTTACTGCATAATCCGAACAATCATTCAAGATACATCGACTACATCTACCGAGGAGGGCATCGAGTACATCCTGAAATAGTTGCAGGAGTTTCATGACAGCATGATTGGGAGGAACTCAAGAGTACTGAAGACATACAATTGACTATCTACAGAGCTATATTAGGTAGGGAATCCCGGAGATGTAGAGGACATTGTGGTAAGATATGATGTGCGACAACGACACAAGTATTTAACTATGGCGTCAGGAGGATTACTGCAACCACTAACGTTACCTGAGAAGGTTTGGGAGGAAGTGATGGATAGAAGAGTTGTCACGATCAGAGGGGTTTACAGTGATATTGGTGGTAGTGAATCGTCTGAGCAGGTATGCACACTTCATTCCATTACGACACCATTACAATGTTGTCTCATTCGCTACGATGTTTCTATGACAAGTGGTTCGTTTGCATGTTCTTTTGGGATCTATTGTATCAGACAGGAACAAGGTGTTCCTAAGCTACTTTTCGAAGAAACTATTCAGGTTACAAGCGATAGTCATAAAGAGGAGCACAACATATCATCACCAGACAGCTGGCCAGACAGAGGTGATCAACAAAAGTATGGAGATATACCAGCATTATTTTGTATTAGATATACTGAAACTTTGAGCAAAGAGAATTGCTTGAGTTGAGTGTTGGTATAATTCTTCGTACCATAATGCTGGGATTTTGTATGGGTGGGATCCACCCCACCTCATACAATATGGGCATAGTACCACCTCGGTATCCAGTGTGGAACAATATTGGAGAGAGAACATCACCGAAGCTCAAGGGACATCTACTAAGGACCAAAAAGATCATGAAGAGGAAGGCATATGAACATAGGAGGGAGGTACAATTCGAGTACAAGGATAGGATTTATTTGAAGCTATGACCTTATCGATAGAAGATATTAGCTAAGGGGAGCGAAAAACTCTCTCCATGATATTTTGGACACTATGAAGTTATGACACACATTGAGGCAGTGCCTACCATTTGCATCCAATCTTTCATGGATCACTAACAAGACGTACTATTATGGATCATACACCCTCATCGTCACTACAATGTTGATAGAGGACATGGGCTTGATTCCAGAACATTTATAGGTTAGAGTGTGCTAAGGAGTGGATGGAGAAAAAGAGCTACTAATTAAGTAAAAAGATCCGCCATAGTAGTTTACAGAAGTAGTGATATGGGAACCTTATGAAGGGATCCATAAGTAGTTTACATCATTCCACCTTAAGGAAAATGTGCTTCTTTGGGAGGGGAGTGTGATGTGCCCGCTCCTACTGCAGATGAGCCGGTCCAAGAAGGACCGGTCATAGCCAGCCAAACCAACCGCTTTGCCAAGTCAACCGACCCAGCCAAGTGGAGTAGAAAATTGTACGATTACTAAGGACTACTAAGGACGATTCCAACTTCTGAGTGGGACACATACAACCATTAATCAAGTACAAGAAGGGGGGGTTGGGGAAGAGTTTGAATGGATTTTGAGGAGTATTTAGTAGAACTAATTAGCTAGCGTTTACATTATGTTTTGATTTGCTACAACTTTTCTTGTGTGTTTGGGTTCCTAGTGATGACTAGAGTTGTGGAAGGACGATCTACCTCTCAAATTGTACATTACCCCTGTATCTTGTTTGTTTGCTTTGATATTAATCAAATTAGCCCTATCTTAAGTTTTCTAGTGCAAGTCGCTTGTTGATTTTGGCTCTGGTTTGTATCACAATGTTGCTCGTTGGACGCTATAAAAGACCAAAGATAAAAAAGGGCATTTACATATATATCACCCAATTCCTATGTATTTACATATCTAACACCTAAATTTTGCTATGAACGTTGTACCACCCAAAATTTTCATATCACATGGAAAATACCACTGCTTTAAGTTTTAAAAAGTGTATACCTTTTGATGCAAAGATAAGCTATGTATGTAAATTAAAGTTAGGGTGTTAGATATGTGAATACATAAAAAATGAGTGGTATGTATGCAAATCTTCCAAAGAAAAAATAAGAATAATTTTACCAAAAAGCCAAGAATTAGAAGAAGTCATACCAGGCGGCTATTGGCAGCAGACAGATAGCTTCGTAATTCTGAGTCAATTACTTTAACCAAAGAGTAAGTACCAAGTATGGATTTCTTTTCTATTTGACAAGCTGTTTTTAGGAAACGGTGTCTCGCAAGTTGATTAACCAGATGATTAATGTACTGCACAGAAAGATAGATTTGATTAGTTGTGAAATTGCAAAATCTCCAACTGATGCAATAATGGCAAAAAAGACAAAATGACAAAAGAAAATTACTGGGAAGTATATGGAAGGTAAAAAGAATAGATATATAAGAGCACTGTGGATAGAAATTGTGCAAATAAATTTAGAAAGATATACATACAAGCCCTTCAATTCCTATGTATTTACTTATCTAACACCTAAACTTCAATTTATAAAAATATATATAAACTTTACTAAGCATGAAAAGGTGCATTTCACTCTTTAAAGTTAAAAAGGTGGTATTTTTGATGTGATATGAAAGTTTTGAGTAGTATGTAGGTAAATGCACCAAAGATTTAATACATATTGCAACACAAACATGAATGAATGGAAAACAGAAGTCAAGAAGGCACGAAATCGTCGAGATGAAGTCAAAGACAATGATGGCAATAATGACCAGTCTTCATCAGTGAATTATTACCAGTCTTTGCTTGAAGGAACAATGTACTATTCAATATATGAATGTCTAGCACAAACCAGTATATGTGGGATATAAAGGACAACATAAGAAGGACAAAAACTACAAAAAAAAATTACTAAAAGATTAAGGCAAAATGAAAAATACCTCAACATTCTCTTCTCGTCAGCTCAATAAAGACATAACTTTTCTTCATTCAACTCACTATGTACCAGAATTACAATCTTTTCTATCAGTTAACCATGTAACTGACAGCAAAAGTGCGAAGAAAATAATCATAATGAACAATAAATAAATAAATAACTGACAGTCAAATTGCTTGATGTGGAAGCGTCCATAGAGTCGTGCAGGCATCCCACGATCCCGATCGCGTGGTTTCAGTGATTCGATCGCGGAAGGTCATACCACGGAACGAGGGAGGTCCAACAAATGAAAGAAGCAAGTGGCTGCCCGTTATCAGTTTCACCAGAAATTTTTACTTTTTATAATTTGTTTCCTACTTTTTCTTATTTCTAAGTAGGTTGCTTGAGTGACTATTTATCATGTTCGTTTCTTTTGTTTTTGGAGACTTTCGATTTATTTTGAGTAGTACAGACATATCTGATTTCCTGCTTTAAGAGTGGTATATCATCTTCCTTTCGCAAGTGGTGTGTATGTATCTTACTCAGTAACAGGTGTTGTGAAGCAAGAGCTCCCTGCTACAATCTTGGGATCAGCCTATTGCAATCCCAATCGCAGTAATTTCGTAAACCGCAAAATATGAGCTCTTACAATTGCGTGTTCAAACAATAGGGGAGTGTCGACTTCCAAATTTTAGCATATCTTTTATCCCTCTATTATTTTTAATGTTTGGCTATTTCTAATTAGGTTTTCCTGTGAGCAAACTATTTATAAATTGTTATTTTGCTAATTTAAGCATGAACGAAATCAATTCTAAGATAAAATATATGGCAGGCTGCGCAACTCTTACTAGCAACTACTCAGGAGAGACCTCTTCTTCACTGATAGGACTTATATACCATTAAAAAATTTTCGTACCTATCAAGCTCCTAAGACAAATTTCAAAGCTTGGGTTCAACCCTCCTATATGGACATCTGAGGGTGGGTACACTACTGAATTAAGGGTCTGTTTGGGGCAGTTGCATCTTATCAAGATAACTTGTCTGGCTGTTTGGTTTATGCTGATTTGTGCTTTTGAAAAACAATTGATTTGCAGTTATTTCTGGATAAATGATTATTCTGTCATTGTTCTGGATAAGCTGTTTAGTTGTTTGGTTTGTGTGTTTGGAAACAATCTTCATAAACTATCCAACTAATTTTTAGTAGATCAAAATTCTTAAAAGCCTTAGAAGCATTCCTCTATCAAAAAATATAAATTCCTCACTTCAGAAACATGCCTTTAAAAAATGTCATGATTTTAAAAATACTAATAATTTAATATATTTAAGTTTAATTTATTTCTTATTCATACTTATAATTAAATATTTGTCCAACTAATTAATTATTATTAATAATTTTCTTAAACAAATTATATCAAGCAATACTTTAATATTCATTAATTAATGTTGTAAATTAGTTATTTAGCAAAGAATTTATAATCATTAGAATGTTATTAAAATAATTAAATTTAAAATGTAATTTATTTTTGTTATTAATTAATAAATAAATAATTACATATTTATAATTAATTTGATAATATATTAATTATAAATTAATTAAATTAAAAAAATCTAGAAACCATTTTCCCCTTCCCGTCTCGTAGTCGAAACCCTAGTGATTCCCCTTCCCTTTCACCTCAAACTCTCCTCTAAACTTCTCCATGGATCTATTTCAAAGTTATTCAGACAAAACCGAAGACCCCAGCGCCTTCCCTTCCTCTGTGGATTCTTTGTCGGACTCATTTCCTCGCATGTCCCTTCCGGCAAAGTCCTCGACTTCGCAGTCAAGAGGGGCACTCCCGTCAAATGGGAAAGGAAACGCAGGACCGCGGAGCTCAACCCGCAGCCCGCATTTAGTTATACGGCCAAACACCATTTTTGAAAACGCCTCCCAAAAGCTTCTTCTAAACCCTGTCGTGGTGTTTTCAAAATGCAGCCGCAGCTGATAAGTTGCCCCTAAATCTAATATCCAAATAACTCCATATAATCTTCCAAGCGTGGCACAAAAGAGCCCCATTTCTGCATATTGAACCTCCCTCAATAGCGGCAATTCAAGGAGTGTATAGATTTAAAAATTCTTAATTTCTCTCATCTTGGGTTAACCTATGCCTGACACTGACTTCTCAAACTCATAGTCCTTTTCGACATGCAAGGCCAGTCCTGTCGATTCTCCTCCCAACGGATACAAAATGGTAGCTTGAGGCACCATAATCTCATACTCTGCATGAACGTCGATTAACTTAGACTCACCCCCTTTTATAATACTTGTTGTCAACTAAGCTGGAATCTTTCTCACAGGTTTAACTGGAATCAATTGTCTCTTCCTCGTTGGTTGGCGACTGATATTCCACTTTCGTGTCCTCGTTCTCTTCTGTGTTTACTGTGTCTATTGTGTCATTATTCATTTCTTTAACTGCTCCTTGCTCGGTGAAATATATCATCCTCTGGTAGCGCAATTTGTTTCAATATGCCCAATCTGTGCACTTTAAACACTTTCAACAGAGAAAGCTTTAAGAATAGTGGATTCTCAAATATTTCAGGTCACAACTCCGATGAAAGGTTTTTCATCCCTGGAATCCATATGATGGACGAGATCCAAAACATTCCTTTGATTTAGCAAGTCCCTATTGTGGTTGTCGGTGACCCATCCAAATTGCCTCCTCTCGAAGGTGACAAACTTTTGTAATTGGTGAGTTTTCTATTGCATATCCCCCCTAGAAATTCCCTAGACAGCTCTTTGAAAATTTCTCAGAAAGGACACAATGTCCTTTCCCATCAATCTGACTTCCGACTATTATCTCCTCGGCGGCATAACTAGGTTTTGGGAATTGGAAGAGGATATTCCGGGATGAGAAATAAAATTTTTGACGTGGACATGGTTTGGGTATGGAGGAAGCTAATAGGGCTAGGATTAGACTATATTTGATACCAAATGATAATGGAGTTAACCCAAACCACAATAAAAAAATAAATATTATTACTGGGAACAAATATGTGGTCATAATCAAAAACATTTGAAAGGAAAAATACAACACACAACACACACTCGTGTTAAGGCATATCCCAAGTGATGGTGGTGATGCTTAGCGGCTTGGAGTGATGCCGAAGTTAATCCGAAAATGATAGAAAACAAACATATTATTGTTGAAACTTCAAAAGAAAACATGAGGTTCATAAAAAATAAGAAATAAATAACACAAACACAAATGAGCCCATAGGGTGAGGATGGAGGTGGTGAAGCTAATTGGACAGTAGAGGGAGGTGGTATAAGGGTTTGCGAAAAAAGATAAGGTGACAAGAAAGGGTGGCGACAGTAGGTTGCGGTGAAGTGGAAGAGTGGTGTCAGTAAGTGGAGGTGTAGGAAGGTGGGATAGTAGCAGGGTTGGGTGTTGGAGGGCTGGCGGTAGCAGGTGGAGTGTCGGTCGCCTTTTGGGTCAGTTGCATTTTAATTTTGAAAAATAAATTTAATTGAACATGTATATGTAATTTTGAAAAATATAATTTTAATTTGAAAATTAATAGTTTAAGTATACATTTATCGCAAAGAATGAGTACTTAACGTGAGGAATGAACACAACACTACAAGTAATACACTTATCGCGAAGAATTGACACATTACTTGATAGTCAAAAATAGTAGTATCATGAGAAAAGATTTTTTTTAATGTTATGTTTATATACATATTTTGGCAAATTTTAGGGTTTATTTCTTACTAAAAGTTGGTGAATCGTATCTTTGGTTCTATCCCCACTCCGAAGATTGTTCAGGTAAGAGATACTATTCTAACATTTCACTTTTAGCACACATAAGCATTTTTGAAATCGCCCCTACCACTAAGACCCTCTGACTTACATCAGTCGATGATTCATATGTGGCATTTAAAAATATCCTCATTTGCCAAGAGGATCATAATGTAAAGTTCAAAGCTCAGATCCCAGAGCATTTGGTTTGATTATGGGTTAAGTTGTACGAGAGTTTTCATTGGTGATTTAATTGATTGGAAGGGTCTTGAATCACATCTTGGTGTATCTCTGTGTTTTGTGGATGATCTTCTTCAACAAATCAAAGTAATTCCAAATGACTTCTAAAATATCCAAAATCTTATAAGGATGTCTAGAGAGTGACTCTAAACAACCTTAAAATCTCTTGGATTATTTTGAGTTCTTTAAGTCCTACTTTATCGTAAAATCAATCATCACAAATTAAATTGAAGTTGCATTATTGTGTTTTGAAGTTGTGCTCAATGTTTTGACTATTTCATGTACTAAGGCCGAGTGATTAACTTAAACATTCAATTGAGAATTAGAGAGCGAACTCCTGCCTGGGGTATGCTTATAGCAGTTCGGGAATTCACACTCAGAC